AACATTATGAAGCAAAACCATATTGCAAGAATGAAATCCAGGCAACAAACATTGTAGTACAAACTAAAGAAGGCGATATGACTTTCTCATCACTCTACAGCCCACCGCGCCACAGTATCACGAAAGATATGTACATATCATTTTTTCAGCTGCGTGGATCTAGGTTCCTAGTAGGCGGAGATTTTAATGCTAAACACTTAAAATGGGGTTTCCGCCTAATATCTCCAAAAGGACGTCAACTCTTCGAAGCAATAAATGTACTCAACCTCCACACAATCTCAACAGGTGAACCCACATATTGGCCAACGGATAGAAGAAAAATACCTGACTTAATTGATTTTGCGGTATCAAAGGGGGTACGTATCGAAACAACTACCTGTAAGTCCAATTTCGACTTGTCATCTGACCACTCGCCAATAATAATCACTCTCAATGACTGCTGCGAAATTATGGAAAAATGTATTCTTCATAACAAAAACACTGACTGGAATAGTTACCGTCAACTAATTTCAATTGGTCTAAATACCGAAGTCAGGTTAAAAACTGAATCTGACGTAACTGAAGCAGTAGAGCATTTCAACTCTTGTGTCCAAATGTCTGCATGGGAATCAACTCCACCAATTTCTAAAAGTGTTAAGCAAGATTATCCATTTAACATTAGATACCTGATTAAAGAAAAGCGTAGGATGAGAAAACATTGGCAACAGTCGAGATTCCCTGCGGATAAAACTCGCTTAAACAAACTGTGTAAACTCGTTAAAGCCCTTCTTTTAAAGTATAACAATAATCGCACGTCGCTATACCTTCAAAACCTAAGTGCTTCATGTGATACAAAATATTCCCTTTGGAAAGCCATAAAAAAGAACAACAGACCGATTGTCTATCAACCACCTATACGCAAAATCGACAACTCATGGGCAAAAAGCGATATTGAAAAAGCAGAAACATTTGCGTTACATTTGGACCAGGTCTTTAAATCAAATGATAACCAAAATATGCCTGATGTCATGAATCAAAGGATTAATTTTCTACAAGAGCCTTATCAATTGGAACTTCCAATTAAAAGATATACTATTAATGAAGTTAGAGATGTAATAACAAAGTTAAAAGTAAAAAAAGCTCCAGGATACGATTTAATCACAGGCATGGCCTTGCAGCAGCTCCCACCAAAAGGATTTGTATTTCTCACTCATCTATTTAACGCTGTGATAATAAGGGGGTTTATTCCGCCACAGTGGAAGATAGCACAAATCTCCATGATACCGAAACCAGGGAAAAGCCCAGAAGACGTCAAATCATATCGGCCAATAAGTCTACTTCCGATCCTGTCAAAAGTTATGGAAATCCTGTTTCTAAAGCGCCTTACTCCGTTTATCCAACAAAGCAGACTCATACCTGACCATCAATTCGGCTTTCGCCAAAAACATAGCACAATAGAACAAATTCATAGACTTGTCAGACATATCCATAGTGCGATAGATGGTAAAAAATATTGCACTGCGGCATTTATAGATATTTCACAAGCTTTTGATCGAGTATGGCATGAGGGCATCCTGTTCAAACTAAAACTGTATCTACCTCTAAATTTTTTCATATTTATAAAATCATACCTCTCGGCTAGGCACTTTTTCATTAAGCATGGAAACGAAACTACAGTACTTCATGATATAGAAGCAGGAGTACCTCAAGGTAGCATAATGGGACCAATGCTTTATCTTTTATTTACTGCGGATCTTCCCCTTACCGATGAGAGTGTTATCGGTACATTTGCAGACGACACAGCTATTTTATCAGTTGACAGTGACCCAATCCGTGCTTCCACCAAACTTCAAACCTGCCTTGATAATGTTGCTCTCTGGATGATAAACTGGCGTATTAAACCGAATGAATCAAAATCTGTCCAGGTAACATTCACTACAAAACGTTCTACGTGCCCGCCGGTCTTAATAAACAATACTCAATTACCACAAGCTGTAGAAACAAAATACTTGGGCATACATCTGGATAGTAAGCTAACCTGGAAATCGCACATATTCAAAAAGCGTAAAGCCTTGGGTCTTAAATTACGAAACTTATTTTGGTTCCTCAGCCGAAATTCCAAACTGTCACTCGACAATAAGCTGCTTATATACAAATCTGTACTTAAACCTATATGGAGTTATGGGGCCCAATTATGGGGTACTGCAGCAGACTCAAACCTGGCAATTATACAGCGCTTCCAATCTAAAACACTACGAATGATCACAAACGCACCTTGGTATATAACGAATGAACAGCTACATAAACAATTACATGTTCGAACAATCAAGGAAGAAATAGCAAGTATTTTAAAGAATTATGCTCAACGCTTATATATGCACCCAAACCCTCTGGTTACTCAACTGATGTCCCCTTCCAATACCTTTACAAAGCTGAGAAGAAAAACATCGCGAGACATTTTAAATATGTATATGTAGACAATACACTTTTATTTTAAATATATATGGATATGTCACTGGGCATAGTCCATACGTGCCTTTCTCTTTATATCGTAATAACCATTATTACGATTTAAATTTATATATATTACTTATTGTCATTCATTCCTGACAGATTGTAATAAATAAATGGATTTTAAAAAAAAAAAAAATTTCTAAG